TTATATTTTTTATGATGATTTCTTTACCTGTATCTGTGTTTGTAAACCCTTTATTTCTACTTTAACATGTTTGTTTATAATCTCTGTTTAATACATGTACTTCCTTTTAGTTAACTGCAATTTTGTTGAAAAAAATAACCACCCATCTTATTATTCTGTGTCATTCTTCATCAAATTACCCAGCATGCTGCTGTGTGTTAGGTAAAAGTCACTTTAGAGTAACCTCCCCTTTCTTCATCACCCGTCTGTCACTAGAGGGAGCTTTTGTAAAAGAATCATGACATCCATGATGATGTCATCATGATGTCATCATACAAACAGAATATGGATGACATGTTGAATTGTTGAAATGATAGTGTTGTTACTGTTTTATCATCGTTCTACAAATTGTATTTAAAATAAATATAGTTTTCATTCTTTAGGAAGGGCAAACATGAGGGTTTTTTTTAAACTTTCAAATAATGATTCTAGAGCATGTTAGATGCTAATGTAACCTGAAGAAAGTAACACTGAATATGAAAATTTTTGTCATAAAAGCAGTAAAATGTAAACAAAGTCGTATTTTGACTTCCATACAAAGGATGGTTCAGAAAGTTGGCCAATAAGTAACTTTTTGGAAAATATAACAAAACACCAAGAACTAAAATGCTTTTGATAAATTGAAATAAAAGCATTTCTGGGGATAATGGGCCTTTAATTCTTGCGGTTAGATTCTTTTTTGTGACCTTTATAATCTGTAGGGTGCTGCAGTTGCTGGTCACAACACCCATGTGTGATTCTATCTGCATGTCTTGGTCCCCCACAAAAGGGGGTTGACATTTATGAGTTTACAATCAAACAAAGTATGAATTCTGAGTACTCTTCAAATTTGCCAGTATGAATTCTGAGTACTCTTCAAATTTGGAAACAGCATTGGTACATACAAATAACTATTTAAAATTAAAAAATCTCTATAGTTGATGTATCAAGATATGCATGCTTCAATGTAATGGTGATTATTGTTTTTGTTCGTCCTATGAAACACAAATGACAAGTGTTTTTAAAGACAAAAAAAAAAAACTGTCCTATAAAGCAAAAAAGACCTGTTGTATAAAGGAAATAACAAATGTCCTGTTAAACAAAGAACACCTGTCCTATAAAACAAAGAGCAACTATAAAACAAAGAGCAACTGTCATATAAAACAATGAAAAACTGCCTATAAGGCAAATAACAAATGTCCTATAAAGGAAAGAACAACTGACCTATAAAACAAAAAACAACTGTTCTATAATACAAAGAAGAACTGCCTAAACAGCAAAGAAGAACTGCCTATAAAGCAAGTAACAAATGTCCTGTAAAACAAAGAACAACCAACCTATAAAACAAAGAACAACTGTCCTATAAAACTAAGGACAACAGTTACTGTCCTATAAAACAAAGAACAACTGTCCTATAAAGCAAAGAACAACTGTCCTATAAAACAAAGAACAACTGTCCTATAAAGCAAAGAACAACTGTCCTATAAAGCAAAGAAGAACTGCCTATGAAGCAAATAACAAATGTCCTATGAAACAAAGAACAACCAACCTATAAAACAAAGAACAACTGTCCTATAAAACAAAGAACAACTGTTCTATAAAGCAAAGAAGAACTGTCCTATACAGCAAAGAACAACTGTCCTAAAAAGGAAAGGAGAACTGCCTATAAAGGAAATAACAAATGTCCAAAGAACAACTGTCCTATGAAGCAAAAAACAATTGTCCTATAAAACTAAGAACAACTGTCTCATAAAGCAAAGAAGACCTGTCAAATAAAACAAAGAACAACTGTCCTATAAAAACATTGAACATCTGGCCAATAAGGCAAATAACAACTGTTTTATAAAACAAAGAGCAACTGCCCTGTAAAGGAAAGAACTACAGTACAGTCCTTTAAAGCAAAGAACAACAGTTACTGTCCTGTAAAACAAAAAACAATGTCCAATAAAGCAAAGAACAACAGTTCTATAAAGCAAAGAACAACTGTGCTATAAAACAAAGAACAACTGTCCTAAAACATTTAAGAACAACTTTTCTATTAAACAAAGAACAATTGTCCTATAAAACAATGAACAACAAAATGTAAATAATAAAAATCTAATGTAGGTCTTTTCATAAAAATGACATTATCCATAGATAGAATAGTTCACTTAGAAAAATGTGAGATTAAATACTTTAGTTTAAAAAAACATGATACAGGATCTAAACAAACAAGAATAATTAAAGATGTTAAAGGGGCGTCCGTGGCCGAGTTGTTAAGCTCGTTGACTTAAAACCACTTGCCCCTCACCGCTGTGGGTTCGAATTCCGACAGGGACTTTGGATTCTTTTATGTGAAGCTATCCAGCTAGCTTACGGAACGTTGGTGGTTCTACTCAGGTGCCCGTTCGTGCCTGAAATAATGCACGGAAGGGCACTTTAGGTCTTCCTCCACCAGTAAAGCTGGAACGTCGCGATATGACCCATACTGTGTCGATGTGACGTAAACCCCCCCCCCCCCCAAAAAAAAAAAAACAACAAACAAACAAAGATGTAAAGGGTCACGGTAAACAAAGGAACATAAAAGAAGTCTTAAGGGGTCACAATAAACGTGATAAAGGTATATATGGTCACAACAAACAAACATGATTTAGGTCTGTAGGGTCACAACAAACAAACATGATTTGAGGTTTATAGGATCACGACAAACAAACATGATTTAGGTCTGTAGGGTAACAACAAACATGAAAAAGAACTTTGGGCCACAACAAACAAACATGAAAGAAAATGTAGGGTCACACCAAACAAACATAATTGAGTTCTTTAGAAACAGACATGGATTTTGGTCTATAGGATTAAAATATATGAATTTTTAAAGAATGCATAAATAGTATATGTAGTGCATTTAAATGCGTTGAATCTAGTTACATCATGTAGAAATGAGTTAGTTTTACAGACATGATTTTGTGAGACTTTCATCAACATTATAGACAATAACTCCTAGATATCCTTATAATAACTGACAAATTAATATAGTACAATTTATTTATGTTGGTTAGGGTTGCTATTTTCAAATCATGTAAATTGTATGCTGTAGAATATGTTCACATCCTGATAGGGGTGTTCCGCTCTTTTATTTGAGGAAGTTTTTTATTTGCTAATATATAGAAGGTTTGTGGTTCTATCGGGAGATTTTTGGTTCTACAGTTTTGTTGTTCTATTGTATGAAGTGAGGCCTGACATCTAAAACTCTACTTTTATTGTGCAGATGGCACAATATGATCTTTTTAACTTTTTAGTAACTGTACAGAAATGACCAACAAAAATCAACTTCTAGAAGAAAAAAATATATGTCAGTTATCAATTTTACCTTAAAAAATTTCAATTCAATTTTTGAAATGTTATTTATTTACAATAAAAAAAATGTCTGTCTTTCAAAATTGCCATCTTTGAATTATCCAGGTTCATTTGAAATTTTCAATACTTAACTTGACTGTTTGAGGAATAGGGAGAGCTATAATATACACACCGAAGTTTGGGCTATTTTGGCGGCAAAAAGCCCAACCAAGTCATTGTAGGCACAGAAGAAGGTTTAAATACTGCTGATTTCCTTCCCTATTCTGTGAACTGCCTTACTGGGCTGGGCTACAATTTGAAAAAGTGTATAATGAAATTAATGTAGAGCAGTAAAAACTGTTACAGTTTTTCTGTGTGAAGTAAAATTTGGATACTGTATAGCTGTTGTGAAAACAGATGGTCTGTTAAAGCTACTTAATTAAACATGTATTATAACTTTGATATTTGTATTTGTCAATATTTGTCACATTTGTTTATAAACTATATTAATGTATTTTGAGTAAAATCTTTCTGATGGCCAATGGATGGATATAAAGATGAACTATTCACCCAGTGCTTCTTCAATATTTGTTACATTCGTGTATAAACTTTATATATATATGTATTTTGATTAAAAATGTTCTGATGGCCTACGAGTATAAAGATGCGCCATTTTAAACGGTACAGACCCGTGCAGTTTGAAAATTCTTGATATAGTGTCAATTAGATTTCAGTGATAAAATCCGATGAATTAACAATTGGAAGTTTATAATTTGAAACTAGAACAAATCAAGTAAATTGAGCAGGGTTGAAGGATAACAAAATTATAGAACTTTGTTATATAGAATATTAGCATGTTGGTATTTTAGTCACTAACAACATAAAAAAATATGCTTCAGAAAATATGTAGAGAAAACATAAACATATTATGTATTAAAAAGATCTTTTTCCAACTATTTCATTAAAAGAAGGTTAGAAAAAAAATTGAAAGATTGAATATATTAACAGTTTCATTTAATCTTCATGTTTCATCCTAATCTTCATTTAGTTTTGTTTTTGGCTGTCGTGTAGATGTCCGTACGATATTGGTTCCGTTTTGTTTTTCGAATTTGAGCATATTTATTTAGATTCCAAAATATTACTATAATTATTACTAACTATTGCATGATGGGTAAAGGATGTTGTTATTGTAGTTGCCATGTTATTTCTGCTTTCAGTATTGTAGATACATTTGCATTTTGTTCCTAGTTTGAACAAGTTTTGATATTTCGTTCGCACAGAATTAAGCATGCTATGATTATTATTTGAAGCTGATGCGGGGGTCTATGGAAAATGGGTTGCTATGGTAATATTTAATGGAAACTTTGTTACTATGGTTTCTTAACAAAGAAAGTGTAGCTATAGTAATATTGTCCAGAAAATAGTTAATTGAATGCTTATGTCACGTCACATCTTCACGCTGTCTGAAATGACGCAGCATCGTACAAAAGGTGATAATGGCAACAGTTGCACCGACACGTATATTTTTCGGCAGCAGGCGATGTCCAAAACTTATATGAAATTGTGCATTTTAGACAGATAGTTTATAATATTAAATTGTATCAATATTATGATCATGTGAAGCTAGACTGTATATATGGTATGTTGTATGTTTTGGGACATTGTAGAAGGCGGCGTCATGTACATGGTCAAAGAAGGCGGGAGAGAGGGGCGGAGTCTGCTGGCAGAAGGCGGGAAAGACAGGGGCATGCTCATCCTATGGGTTCTATCGGGTTTAGCTCGTTTGGGTTTCCCGGCATGTCATTTGGGTTCCATTCTATATTTGATGACCCGTTCTTACACCGGTCACAAGGACTCCATACAGGGTAAATAAAAATAATGTTATCTGTCCTGAATTTTCGTACCATTGTACCAGTGAAAAATGTATCTTGTCGAAACTCCAGTAATTACCTATTTCTTAGGACATTTGCCACATTTATCATTGTGAGGGTAACCAGTTTGCCTGTGTTTTCCTTGAAAGGTAGGTTTTATTTTTTTCTATTAAGTAGCCCACATATTATGCCGTCTTCACCTTATTGTGAGTTTATAATGTGTTTAGAATACTATCATTCTAAGTCATTTATGACCTTTTCTCATCAAAATCCTCAAGTATGGTAAACAGTTTCTAGTTGTACTAAATGATGATCTTGTTAACACTGTTTTACATCATCATTCTTGTAAGGAACATCTTCAAAATCATCCTTCCTGTTTTGGTGCCATATGACATAAACTGTTTGGATATGCCGTCAGACAAAACAGAAAAAGGGGCGTCCGTGGCCGAGTGGTTAAGGTCGTTGACTTCAAACCACTTGCCCTTCACCGCTGTGGGTTCGAATCCCGACAGGGACTTTGGATTCTTTAATGTGAGGAAGCTATCCAGCTAGCTTACGGAACGTCGGTGGTTCTACTCAGGTACCCGTTCGTGCCTGAAATAATGCACGGAAGGGCACCTGAGGTCTTCCTCCACCAGTAAAGCTGGAACGTCGCGATATGACCTATTCTGTGTCGATGTGACGTAAAACCAAAAAAAAACATCAAAAAAAACAAGACAAAACAGAAGAAAATAAAATCTTCAGCATTTATCACTATCATCAAAACTAAGCTGCTGGAAGCCTACTTTTGTTCCTTAATATTAATGAAAGTTTATAAGAAATTACTATAAATGAATAACATATTTAGTGGATTTTTTTTAAAGATTTAGCCTTTAATTCATAAGTAAATAAGTTAATAAATGGCCATCTTTGATTTTGATCAATATTCTCACAAGTTTGAAGTCTGCAGTAGTTTTGTAAGAATGATGAAGTTTGTCTATGAATAATGTAAAAATTATACATGTATGTAGTAAGATATAGGCTTAATAATATTATGCTTGTTAATAAGAATATAAACTATACATGTATTAAACTTGAGAAATATTGAATTTGTACCAGCAAAATTTTGATTACAAATTACAGTATTTTTGTACATCTGTTAATATTGAAGTTAACCGTTTATCAAATGTAGACTATTTATGCAAAAACCATCTAATACACCGATTGACAGTTTCCGAACTAGCAGACGACAGGCTATTCTTATCAGTAGAATTGCGAGTAAAGATGAGCGTTTGCTTATCTCAATGTAAAAAATGTATGTAAAATGGTCTGACATATGGTAGGTTTAGCCTTAAATTTAAATACCTTTACTGTCAAACAATGTGTTGAAATGTATACCGAGACGAGGCTAAGATCACAAGCTTTTTATTGGTGTAATTAATTTTAAAATAGGTCATTTAATCGCCCCAAACTAGCGGTTTAAAAAATGGCTAAATTTGTATTGTTTTTAGCATTAGAGATATCAATTTTACTTGAAGATAAGGGAAGCAACTTGTACTTTTTCACAATTTAAACATCGGTTATTTACGTAGTTCAAATAGAGACTGTCACTTGGTGTATAGGACTATGATGGTCCAAGGGAGACAATTTGATCAGTTTATTTAGATACTTTTATCAAGGGAGACAATTTGATCAGTTTATTTAGATACTTTTATCATCGGAGACAATTTGATCAGTTTATTCAGATACTTTTATCAAGGGAGACAATTTTATCAGTTTATTTAGATACTTTTATCATGGGAGACAATTTGATCAGTTTATTTAGATACTTTTATCATGGGAGACAATTTGATCAGTTTATTCAGATACTTTTATCAAGGGAGACAATTTGATCAGTTTATTTAGATACTTTTATCAAGGGAGACAATTTGATCAGTTTATTTAGATACTTTTATCATCGGAGACAATTTGATCAGTTTATTCAGATACTTTTATCAAGGGAGACAATTTTATCAGTTTATTCAGACATTTTTATCCAGGGAGACAATTTTATCAGTTTATTCAAATACTTTTATCAAGAGAGAAATTTTCTCAGTTTATTCAGATACTTTTATCAAGGGAGACAATTTTATCAGTTTATTCAGATACTTTTATCAAGGGAGACAATTTTATCAGTTTATTCAGATACTTTTATCAAGGGAGACAATTTGGTCAGTTTTATAATCAAGGGAGACAATTTTATCAGTTTATTCAGATACTTTAATCAAGGGAGACAATTTTATCAGTTTATTCAGATACTTTTATCAAGGGAGACAATTTGGTCAGTTTTATAATCAAGGGAGACTATTTTATCAGTTTATTCAGATACTTTTATCAAATATAAATACCAGAGCAAATAAATAGACAAGCTATTGATCTAGTGCATAAAAGAACATAAAATATTAGTATAAAGGCCACAGTGCGCTCATAGTGCTAGAGTTTTTGCTTAATGCATGTAAATAAGAAAGTTAAATTCCCAAAAAAATGAAGGAAAAGGTGAGTGCGTAATGCATTGTTAAAAAATGCTTTTAGGCTGCTATTTTATGATGCAAGATTGTGCAGTTGAATATGTTTTGAATTTAGCAGCAACTGTGTGATAGCTATTTTAGAGGCTAGTTTTGAGAAATATGAAAAATAGTTGTCTCAAATTTTCGTTTTAACAAATTTTAACTCTTTGCCCCCAATAGATTGGAGAAGAGCTTGTTCAGTATAATAATTAAATGTAAACTTTTGACAATTTTGTAGCCATTCACATTGCTATTGTTCAATATCCGTCTATAAGTCGGGGGTCACAAAAAGCTCTTAAGGATATGGGCACAAAAAACTGTCCTATATATGGATAGATATGGTTTAATGAGATATTGAATTTTGTTGTAATTTATGTCAATGGTAAATAATAGCATATTACAGAAATATTAGTTAAGCTCTTAGTTAACCTCTTTAAACCTTTACGTTTGAAAATTATCAAGTTAGTTAAGCTTGAAAAGCTGTTACTGGATAATAATGTAGTCTATTTATTTAAAAGGGTTATCATATGTTTCATGAGTCAGAGTTCCTTTTATAAAAATTACAAAATGTAGATCATAATTATTCATGAAACATGAACTTTTAGTACAACAGATGTTCTGGTAAAGCTTTAAAGCTTTTTGAAGTCAGTATTTTCCATTTAAGGCTTAATAATTTCCCTAGTTTTAAGGGCTTAATTCTCCCAGTTATCATATGGCTTAATTTCCATAGTTTTTAAGGGCTTAATTTCCCCCAGATATTATGGCTTAATTTCCTCAGTTTATAGGGCTTAATTTCCCCATTTTATGGGCTTAATTTCACTGATATGGCTTAATTTCCCCAGTTTATATGGCTTAATTTTGCCAGATATTAAGGCTTAATTTCCCCAGTTATTATGGCTTAACTGCCCTTTTTTTAAGGGTTTAATTTCCCAAGTTTTTAGGGCTTTATCACCCCAGTTTCAAGGCTTAATTTCCAAATTTTGTATGGCTTAATTTCCCAAGTTTTTATGCCTTTTGGCTTTTAGGACCCACTTTTGTTCCATTTCTGCTTACTTGGGTTCCACGACATTGAAATGCTGGTAACATTTTCAGAATCAGTGGATTTAAATCAAGTGACGGAAGATCAGTAGAAAATCTTTATAGCAAATATTTAGTTACCTGCCCCTAATCAGTTAAATCTTACTAAAAAATACTTAAAAGAATATTGAAATTTTCTTGTCTTCAATAATATTAAGATTAGTGCCTGTAAGATTAATCTTTGTACAGTGTTTAGGGTAGTCATTGAAACTTTTCTGAGATGGTTATTATTGAACTTGAGAATGTCATTTTTGGTTTTAATCACATACAACAAAGAGTGTTTTCTAAGTTCTGAAGCGGCCTCAAATTGCATTTGAGACGGTCATTTTGGCCTACAACTGACTCCTTTTAAAAACCCTGTATGTTTTCTAGCAAAAGCTTATGAGTTAAGTTTTCACTAATAGTGTTTATTGATGTAAAGCTGTGTACATAATAATTACTACTAAAACTATTATTATCTAGATTTAGCCTTATTTTTCCAGTAGCTTTGTTGCCATGGTAGCATTTTTGATTTGTTAGTCAATATGTTAGAAATTCTGGTTGCTATGGTTATCATAGCCTTATTGCTATGATAGTTGTAGCCTTGTTTCTATATATTAACATTAGATAAGTTGCTATGGTAACCATGGCATTGTTGCTATGGAACTAAGATCATATTACAACTTTGTTGCCATGGTTTTCAAAGTCTTGTTGCTATGACAGATTTAGCTTTGTTACTATGTAGACAATAAATTTGTTGTTATGGTAACCATGGCCTTGTTGCTATGGTAACTATGATCATTAGCTCGACTATACGAAGTATATGGAGAGCTGTCCTACTCGCCCCGGCGTCCGCGTCCATATTTCAGATTAAAGTTTTGGTGCAGTAAAATATTTTTCACTATAACTTTGTCATTTCTTAAGGTATCAACTTCAAACTTCAAATATATGTTCCTTATCATCAACCACATCTTATGTGACAAGGTTCATAACTCTAGCACCAATATTTTCAGATTTATCTCCCCTTGAACTTAGAATTTTCCTCAAAAAATACTATTTTTTACTGTTACTTCTTTATTTGTTAAGGGATCAACCTCATACTTCAAATATATGTACCTTATCATCATCCCCATCTTATGTGACAAGGTTCATAACTTTAGCACCAATATTTTCAGATTTATCTCCCCTTGAACTTAGAATTTTCCTCAAAAAATACTATTTTTAACTGTTTCTATTTTATTTGTTAAGGGATCAACATCATACTTCAAATATATGTACCTTATCATCATTCCCATCTTATGTGACAAGGTTCATAACACTAGCACCAATATTTTCAGATTTATCTCCCCTTGAACTTAGATTTTTCCTTAAAAAATATTATATTTTACTATTACTTTTTTAGATTTAAAGGTATCTACCTCAAACTTCAAATACTTATTCCTTATCATCAATTACATTTTATGTGACAATGTTCATAACTCTTGAAGCAATATTTACAGATTTATCTCTCTTTGAACTTAGGATTTTCATTAAGAAATATCATAACTTCTTTACTTTTTAAGGTATCTACTTCAAACTTCAAATATATATTTCTTATCATTACACACATGTTGTGTGACAAGGTTCATAACTCTAGTGTGACGTTTTCTAGAATTATTCCCCTTGATCTTGGAATTTATGTTAACAAATGTTTTTTAACTATAACTTAATACATAATTATACATAATTGATTTTTCTTTCATTGCTTTGTCCTCCTTACTCGTCCAGTATTTTATTAGTTGAGCTTTGCTGTCTCCTGTGACAGCTCTTGTTTTACAACCTTGTTACCATGGTAGTCATAGTCTTGTTGCTATGACAGCCAAAGCTTTGTTACTATGGAAGTCTTGACATTGTTGCTATGGATGTTTATAATTCATTAATAGAAGCTTTGAATCATTTATTTTGTGCATTATGTAAAAGTATATCATTTGCACAGTACAATTATTTACTTGCTATATATTTTCACCATCACCATTGGACTTGTTTTCATTCCTATATACCACATTATGATTGACATCACACTAACGAATTAAACAAATTTATGTAAAAGACATAAAAAATTACAATAGTTTATAATAAATAGGACTAATTGATCAATTATAACATACAGGCAGAAGACAACAAAACATTTGAAAATACTTTTTACCCCTTGGCCTTATCAGAATAATGTATGATATATTAAGATAAAGGTATTATACTAAATTACCTGATAAGCCTTCCTTATCTGAGAATGTTGTCTAACAAGTGCCCTGGTAATATATCAGAAAATATCTCTAACCATAGGTAAATGTTAGATTCCTTTATATAACCATAGGTAGATGCTAAGAATCCTTCATAGATTTCATATTTATCATTTTAATAGCTCAGGGGCAACAGTTTTATTGCCAACTGTTTGAATGAATATATTCTTGACAGATCTTAAGTTCAACATTATTTTGTTATATAAGATGAAATTACTCTCAGAGTACCTTTAAATTGTTATCAAATATGTGAACAACCAAACCAGTTTTAAGGAGAGGCAATTAATTGTCTTTATAGTCAAGTGGTCTCTATTTGGAGGTTATTTTGTCCCATTTTTTCAATGAAGAGTTATCAAATAGTGACCTTTATTTGCAAGGTTTTCTTAATTCAGAGGTGGTCTTTAACACGTCAAAATTGGCTAGAGGAGCTATGGCCTGTATTGAAAACCTTAATGCAACTAGTACATTGCTAAATAGTTAAAAACGTTACTAAAATAGCAACATGATATTTTGTTCCGGAAAGTTTTATTCTGTAAACATAATATGTTATTCTTGTGTATTAAATAGCAGAGACATTCTATGTTACAACTCGTAAGAATTTACCGTAAGATTATGGAAACAATATAGTTTATAAATTTTACGGAAAAAAACATTTCATGAGACGTAACTTTTTATGGTAACTTTTAAATTTACAACGGACAGTTCCAAAAATATAATCTGAAAAAAAAATTGTTTAAGAATTTAGCGGTATTAGCAATTTCTTCTCACAACCTTTATCTTTTTGCAACTTGCGTAATACAAAAAAGTTATGCTTTGCTTGGTTACTTCCCTTTAAATTAAATTTTGCTTACCGGTAGTTACTTCCCTTTAAATTACTTTCTCAAAAGAGAGAGAAAGAGTATAATATTATATTTATTCCTATATTCTAGAAATGTTATGAGTTATAATAGATGACAACAGAGTTAGCTATATATAGTTTCTTTTATATTTTGTTGCAATGCCTAAAATATGACATCTGTATGGTTTTATAATACTGCGAGTTTGTAATGTCGCTTTTGATTGGATAATCGTGACATTTATATAGTTTTATATTCATGGCTACTGTCAATTTATGAAGAAATCTTACTTTTTTTTCCCCAAAAAAAAAGTTTGCTGTAGATTCCTCTATTATAAATTGGTTATAAATATTCCTGACAGGTTATATGACCATATATAGTTGGTGTTTGCAATAAAACCCTCACCATTTCCAAACAACTGTTTATATAGGGCCATATAACCTGTCAAAAATCTTTATCTTTATACATGTAACTAGTTATATTGGTGGTTCATAGAGAAAAATGACATGAACAGGCATTGATTTGAAACCATTTTATTTCAGATTCACATCATTTTCCAGTACATCATTTGGAGGAGGAGGTGGGGGCGGAGGTGGAGGGGGAGGGGCTAATTTCAGATCAACTTCCACCTCAACTAAGATGGTCAATGGAAAGAAAGTTGTAACAAAAAAGTAAGTGTGCAGTTACTTATTTCTTTTAACCACACACCTCATTGTTAAAAATCCATGGAAGGAATTATAAAATTTATCAAATTATAAATTCCCTCAAAAGAAGTGCCCACAAGGATCTGTACTACTCGCAACCAGATAATTGTTGCGAGCTGGATTGTTCCGAAAGCTGCAAGGTAAAATAGTTCTTGTCACCTGAACAAGATGCCAAGCGTCAAAAGCTAAAAATAGAAAATCAGCGTGAAATAAGTTCCAAATGACACCTTTATGTGGACCGCATGGCAGATTTTGATGAATAGTGTATCTAAATCACCGTGCAGTTTATTTTACCATACCTGGACTTATAACTTATTTATAGTATCATAGGATAAAAAATAGGGTCAGAACCGGAGTAGAGCTTGGACAACATAATTCATACAGCTTTAACCACTTGGCCATTGTTACCCTTTTTAAATAGTACAGAACTTTACGCATAAAGCAAACTTGTAGGAAAAATGTTGCTGAAATGTTTTACTTTACTTTTTAATGTAGTAAAATTGTATTAGTAAAGAATGATTTGTAAATTATCTTCCTAGAAAGCTCATTTTTGGTCTGTAGTTATTCAAAGGGTGAGAGCTTTTTTTTTGGTAAAAGAATATCGGAATTGAACTTATATGACTCTTTACATGTTAGTGTAGTTATTTTTGTAAGAAATAATGAATAGAGCTGGCGAAATCTGATTTTGACGTACTTGTCCGTTTTTATCGAAAGCATTGCTTAACTTGTCCGTACGATATTTATATAGTAAATTTTAAATATATTCCACTTGTCTGTACAGGTTGTGGGACACAACCTGGTTGTTTATGTCGCCCCTGAATGACATATATATCTAGTTTTATGTGTACTTTTTCCAGAGTTGTAGAAAATGGTGTAGAAACAGTAACGGTAGAGGAAGACGGTGTACTCAAGTCCCACGTGATGAACGGTGAAAATATGATGATAAAAAACTGATTGTTACCATAGAAACAAGAAATAGTGAACTATAAAAAAAACTTGATATAACGAATATCAGTGGTGGAACATAACTTATGTCAAGTCTTGAATGTACTTTTAAGAAAATGATATTTGTACAAGTGGATAAAAAAAACAACAACAGCAACAACAAAGATCGATGACCAACTGTCAAATGTGTTTTCTTGAAAGGAAATTTATTTCTATGTGATTTGTCACGTTAATCTTAACATGGCCATATTATATATATTAACTTTTTATGTTTTCTCTTTTTTGTTGCGTTTATGGATATTTAAGCATTTTCGTACTTGTCTTAAAAGTTAAGTGTTTTTTGAATATATGCACAGAGCAAAAGCTTTATCGACAGTTTTTTTATATTTCTTTTTTTAAAGTTAAAAAAAAAATGGTTGCTAAGTGACTATAACTTCATTGCTGAATCTGTGTTGCTAGGTAACTGAAATTAATTGTACTTATACTCCAGGCCAATATTTGTACGCTTACTGCTCTATGTACAACACAAACTTAAAAACAGATAAAGGTATTTGAAAATAAAAAAAAACATTTCATTTTAGTTATTCTCGTCATTTTTAAAGCTTGTTTAGAAAAACACAGCTTGGACTTGATTACTTATGCCAAGAAATAATGGGGACTACATAACTTTGCTTTTTTGATTTCTGTGATATAAGCATTATGTAAGGGTGAAGAAAATGATTAACCTCATGGTGACCTTTTGTCCCTGAATTGTATGTGTGTATAAATATCGCATTTTCAGTTGTCTCAAACATAAAACATGAAATTGTTATACCCTTTCCACGCTAAAATTCATAAATGGACGTTGCCCATCTTTCAATCTGGACAAAACCATTTATCATTTTTGGGTAAAATTTTATATAGACTGAAAAGAGAACAGTGCAGACCATGGTTTGAAAGCATGGATGTGCCGGCTGATCTTGGTCTGCACTGGTTGTGCAGATTCAGTTGTGGCCCTTAGGGTAAAGGTCAAGTCACTACAGGTGCCAATACTGACTACCCCATAACCACCTATGTCGGCTAACACTAATGAATATTTCAAAAATTTCAATAGTGGCAAGTGCTTTTTCTTAAATTTAATTGGATAAAATTTATGAAACTTGTTTCATTGTCTTTTTATAGATGATATTAAATTTTGTGTTTATTTTAACACTGCTTTATGGTACGAAAGTAGTTCACATGTGTCACAAGTTAAATCTTGTAATGTGGTGAGCTTGGTACAGGACTGGGTAGCTCAGTCGGTATAGGAACATTTTAGTAACTCTGAGGTTCAGGGTTTGAGTTTCTGTTCAGCTGAATGTATTTTATCAACCTTGTGACACATGTGAATTTAATTTTTTTTTTCAGGGATATTTGTGTCACCTTAATACATTGAGAATGTATGTGTTGACTAGGAAACTAAAACTTTTCATAAGCATTCATCTTGGTAAAGGCTCTCCTCTTGATGCAATGAAGCATCAATGTGTCATTTTAAATTTAAAGAATTTAATTATATGACCGGAACACATGGTTTTTGTTTTGTTATTATTTCTGTCTTTGTTATGTGACGAAAATTATATGAGGAAGTTAGTGATATATACATGATTTCTGTTTGACTTAATGCATTCTACATTTTCTTAAAGGAACTTAACTGAGGTCCAAAATCTAAAAGATTTAAAAAAAAAAATCTCTTATATAGGTCTTATACTGGACATTTGACAGTCATATGACATTGTGACAATTTAACTTAAAACCTAGCTAAAATTATAGAAATCTACATGAATATTATGTTCTATACTTTTAATTCCAATTTTGGACTATAGCCAGATATATGTGGCTTTCAATTCATCCCATCTTTTAGAATAGGGCTTTTTTCATTTCTTTAATGTTAAAAATCATCTTCTTGTTTAACAATGTTCATGTTTTTGTTGCCTATGAAATCTCTTTTTTCAGTCTGACATGTAATAAAAGTTATCTAAATTGTTTTTTTTTTAAATTTTATTTCTAGTATCTTGTCAAAACACTTTTTTCCCCTCTTTATTTAAAATAACCCTTCAATGTTGTTTTTTTCAAAAACTATGTTGTTTTGGTTTTAATCTAATATGATGTATTCAAAGAGAAGTCCTACATGTCTAAATCTTAAACCAGTCTGGCTATTTTAGCATTGGATTGGTTAATTTTAAATCAAAGTTTGAATCCAACCAATGAAAATGCTGCATTTGACTGGTTCAAAATGTATTGTTTTAAATGTTAAAAAAAATGTATTGTGGTATGTTTGAATGAAAAGTTATTTATACTTTGAATTATAGACATGGTGATGTTAAAAAAATGTGTATGTGTGCGTGTGTGTGATTTTTTTTTTTTTTTTTTTCATTCTGAAAAGTTTTGATATTTTGAATAATTTTGAATTGTTTATGTTGAAATGAACATTTAAGAAAAATAAATGTATGAAAATGATGACAGTGTGTTAAAGCACGTGACTAATTGATGCCATGTGCATGTGTAACTATGTTAATTGTTGTACAGATGATTTACATATTTGTTTGGCTTTTCTGTCTCTGGATAAAAAATTTGGACATATTTGAGGTTGTTCACTTTACGATTAAGTATGATAGACAAGCTAATAAAACTTTTTATGCTTGCAGTAATCAAGAAATAAATAACTAATACTTCATATTATAAGTTAATACTTATATAACTCTAAGAATTTCCTTAATTCATAACTTGATTTATGCTTCGTTTTGTATGAAAATATTTAACTGCATTCATTAAAGAAAATATATAGCAGAACTTCTGTAGCTCCTAGAGTAGTTTCCCCTGATTGTCTTACCTTTATACGGACGTCTGCAACATTTTCATGTCTTTTTGGTGTGAATGGAATACCTCATTCTTCAGTTTGAGTTGTATAAGATTTTGTCCTGTAATAGCTTGAAATCAAAATATTCATCTCAAATTGTGATAAGTTCCCTGTTGGAAGCCTTACTTAATATTTTGATCCTTAAGTTGTGTAAACCTCTTCAATGAATCTTTAACCTTATTACAATTATCTAGAATAATTATACTCTGTATGCCTATTTAATTTTTATTTACAATTAATGTCGACCATGGTTTTCCTAATTACGTCCAAATTATACGCTACGTATCAAACTTTGAGATGTATATTTACAAAATGTTTAAAACAACAGCTGAAATCATCAAAAATAATGTTGCTATGTTTATATACAATCTAGGCACCAGTGCTTGCTCCAATATAAAATCCACGCAAGGCTATATCTGAAGTCTAGCTTTTATAATACACGAACACACTACCAATTTAACTATGACCTTCTATAAAGTGACCTTCAAAGTTTAAGGTCAGACTGTGATCAAATTTCTTCAGCCTCATTGCTGCATGACCCAAATAAGGTCAACTGAAATAGTACTAGAGTCTATATAACTTATACTTGTTATTTAACGATCTTTTATAAATTGACCCTAGTTTGCAGCTGTATTTGAAGGTCAAAAAGGTCTGTTTATATGGGAGGTTATATATCTAAATGGGGATATAATTTATCATATAACAAAAGGTCCGTAATGGACAAGCTTTTTGTTTTGTATTTTGCGCTGACATGTACTTAGTATATGTATATTTTTGTAATGAAACTGAAATATTTTGACTTTTGTGTGAAAACACAACACATGTTACTTATAGTACTTTTATTGTTCTTTTTTTCTCATGGAAAAAAAATAAAAATATGATTGTGAAATTTGGGGTTTTGAAATTTTCTTTTATCATTCCCTCATGAATATGTCTGTTTCCAACTCAACTGCAGGTTGAATTTGTATATCAGCTTTACATTTGTTTTTAGCAACTATTCCAAGGTCTATGGAGAGCCATTTTACTCTTTCCTGCGTCCGCATGGGCCTAGCTGCTACACTTTGGTTAAGTTTAGTGTGCAAGTTGGCATCTCCAAAACTACTGAAGGGAATGGGTTGAAACTTCAAACACTTGTTCTCTGTGATTATCTTACATAATAGAGACAGGTTCTATAACTCTGAGTTACCTTTATACAGAGTTATGTCCCTTTTCTTATTGTCAGGCTTTGATAATAGTCGAGTGCACTGGCTTATAAACAGCTCTTGTTTGACAAGCTTGTTTGCTTGCAGCCAACCAATTTGTGTACTGTCAAAATCATGTATTGTTAAAGCCATGTATGAAAAATCCAAATGTACAAAGGAAAGAAATAAACAAGTGACAAGTAAGTATTTTTATATCGATAAAAATAATGTAACAGAACAAACTGCGGTGACCATGGGATTTCAGAGGAGTGGCATACAATCCTTAATTAAAGGTGTACATATATGTGAAGAAAGTCTACGTATTTTCTGAACCTCCCTCGTTCAATTGTCCTCATGTAGGAACTAAACATAATATAATTTTGAGAGCGTGTCAGATGTATCCTGCATACAACAGCCAGCTATCAAAAGGTGAATCCTAAGGATAATTCAATTCTTTTGCAATGTCTTTATGGATAAAACATTTGAAAAGATGACGTGTCATTCTTTACTGGATGGAAGTTTAAATAGACTTAATATTTCTGTGATCGTCTGAAGTAAGAACAAGAAGGCCAAGATGACTCTAGATAGCTTGTCTTAGATTCATTGCTACAAATTTCTTCAGTGCAGCTTTTTGTCGGACAGAAAGTTGCAGTACAGAACATAAAAGCTTATAAATGTATTTTGTAAAGTACGAAATTAAAAATCTGTATTTAACATGGTACCTCAAAAATCAATAAAAAGTGGGCAAATAACTACTATACTTAGTGGTTGTGACTTGAAATATAAAATAAAACATTTTAAAGTTTAGAAAAAATGACTAACGTTTAGAAAAAATGACTAACGTAAATACATGTATGGACAAAACTGTGATTTTGGTATAATGTATACAATTAAAATTTACAGTCAAAGGCTTTTCCAGCAATATCCTTTTTGGAAGGATGCAAAGATCAAAAACATCTAAGATAACATGTCTTTATTGATGTAAAACATGACACACTTTCAAAAACATTTAAAGTTAATAGATAAAATCATATCCAAACGCGATAAATATTGCACCTGTAATGAACACAAAATGTTTGTTGAGATTTCTACATTCAACGAATATTTGTATATCATATATAAAGCTATACCATTCTGTTAAAATGTCAAATGTCAGCTGCTTGATTCACTGTTCCCTATGAAACTCATCTGAAAACAAAATTGAGCCATGTCATGACAAAACCAACGTAGTGCATTTGCGACGAGCATGGATCCAGACCAGCCTGTGCATCCACGCAGTCTGATCAGGATCCATGCTGTTCGCTTACAAACCCTCTAACAAGTAGAGAAACTGATAGCGAACAGCATGGATCCTGATCAGACTGCGCGGAGGTGCAGGCTGGTCTGGATCCATGCTGGTCGCAAACCCACTATGTTGGTTTTGTCGTGATGCGGTTCAAATTATACTGTTTTTATTTCATAAAATTTGTACAATCAAGAAATAGGTCTATTAATCCAACTAAGCATGAAAGTTCTGTTTTGCTACTGTTAAACACATTAGATAATGAAGTACTTCAGGCATAAAACTGACTTAGTTTATATTCTATTTCAAAATACTGTAGCACAGTATGTAAAGAATATTTGCTTTTTAAAATAATACTATTGTTAAAAATGTTACATATTGATTTCTTGTTCATAATTCATTTCTATAAGGGATCTGAACAAAGAAATTGAAATATAAATTATTAAAAATGTATACATTAAAGGGACTCCGCTGATTAAAGAGACTGCACTGAGTTTGTTTTGTTTTTTTTGACATGATGGGACTGAAAATATTTTTCGGGATTTGTGCACTAATTGGTGAAGGTCTGGAACAATAACTTATTATCCTTTACCAGATTTCCATTTTTAAGTACTTCACTTGATATATTTAAAGATGATGATATCCTGTATGTTGTGATCAAAGTGGTAAACCACACTAAGTGAAATTATATATATGTACATAATTATGCAAATAAAATAATTTTCAAACATCGAAAAATATGTACTGCATATTATATGTAATCATTAAAATATATGTATTCATTTTTTATTGTAAAATTTGACTTACACTTTATAGAAAATAACATTTTTATTACCTCCCTTTATTTACATGAAATGTTAAATTCGGTAATATTTTTTATAAATAATGCTTTTTGGAACCAACAATATTGATAAATCTTAATTTAAGCATTATATGTATGATTTAAAACCATAAAAAAATTGTGTTACAGGATCGAATTTCATTTTTTATGTTTTTAGACCTCAGTGGAGTTCCCTTAAGTGTTTTTAGACATCCAGTATCTTCTTAGTCTCAAGACAACTTTGCCTTTTAAATTGGTATTATAACTGGCAGTTAATAGTTATCCATCTCTCTAAATCTGTATTTTCTAACATGAAAAATGTTTTGTCTATATTGAGTAGTGTTTTACACTACATCTTAAAGTACCCCTAGGATGAGTGGAACTCGAGTAGAGCCACTGACCTTCAATAATGCAAAATAGATTCTTCAAATGAAAGAATCAAAAGTCCCCCATCAAGAATCGAACCTACAACTGTGAAGTACAAGCGGTTTAATGATGCCATGACTGGGAAGTGTTTTACTTTAAGTTTTACATGAAAACTTTTTGGTCGAGTGGTTAAGGTCGTTGACTTCAATCCACTCACCCCTCACTGCTGTGGGTTCGAATCTCAACAGGGACTTTGGATTCTTTCATGTGAGGAAGCTATCCGGCTGGATTATGGAACGTTGGTGGTTCCACTCAGGTTCCCGTTCGTGCCTGAAATGATGCACGTAAGGGCACCTGAGGTCTTCCTTCACCAGTAAAGCTGGAACGTCGCCATATGACCTTTACTGTGTCGGTGTGACATAAAACCCAATCAAACAAACAAACATGAAAACTTTTAAGGTACTTCTGAGACAAAAACAGGGAAGGGTCTACTTGCATGAAAATTGTTCAGATTACCCTGTTTACAGAGAAGAGTTTAACTTCAACCTCATCAACTTACATGAAAAACCGTTCAGGTACCTCTGTGCACAGGGAAGAGTTTTACTTACATGAAAACCGTTCAGGTACCTCTGTGAACAGGAAAGAGTTTTATTTACATGACAAGAGCGATCAGTGATCACATTTGTCGCCTCATGATGGCCAATTTCATGTTGGGACAAGTTTTATGACAGACGGACAGACAGACGGACAGTGTACAACTAGACTTGGTACTGATCATTCCTGTAAAGTTTGGATAAAATTGCACCAGTAGTTTATGAGGAGTAGTCCGGACAAGCTTTTGTGTATCTGGCAACACACAGAAAAAAACACCTTTTTATCAAAGGGCCATAACTCTGCCAAAAATCATTCAACCGGAAAACCTGTTCAATATGCGCAACAACTTGAGCTACAGATCAATCCTGTAAAGTTTCATTGAAATTGCATTAGTGGTATAAGAGAAGTAGTCCGGACAAACCTTAAAAATAAAAATTATTAAAGGGCCGTAACTCTGACATAAATCATTGAACCGTAAAATGCTGACAATATGCACAACTAGACTTGGTACTGATCATTCCTGTAAGTTTGGATGAAATTGCACCAGTAGTTTATAAGGAGTAGTCCGGACAAGCTTTTGTGTATCTGGCAACATACAGAAAAAAACACCTTTTTATCGAAGGGCCATAACTCGGCCAAAAATCATTCCACCTGAAAACCCATGCAATATGCGCAAGGACTTGAGCTACAGATTAATTCTGTAAAGTTTCATTGAAATTGCATTAGTGGTATAAGAGAAGTAGTCCGGACAAACTTTAAAAATAAAAATTATTAAAGGGCCATAACTCTGACAAAAATCATTGAACCGGAAAATGCTGACAATATGCACAACTAGACTTGGTACTGTTAATTCCTGTAAAGTTTGGATGAAATTGCACCAGTAGTTTATGAGGCGTAGTCCAGACAAGTTTTGTGACGGACAGACGGACAGACAGACAGATGGACAGACAGACGACGGAGAAGTGATCCCTATATGTCGCCACTACTCTGTAGAGGCGACACAAAAACCGTTCAGGTACCTCTGTGAACAGGGAAGAGTTTTACTTACATGAAAACCGTTCAGGTACCTCTGTGAACAGGGAAGAGTTTTACTTACATGAAAACCGTTCAGGTACCTCTGTGAACAGGGAAGAGTTTTACTTACATGAAAACCGTTCAGGTACCTCTTTGAACAGGGAAGAGTTTTACTTACATGAAAACCGTTCAGGTACCTCTGTGAACAGGGAAGTGTTTTACAATTCTGCACTAGAAGATGTATCAACTGTAAGAAGACAGGATGTGGTAGCTGGAAACAATGAACAGTGTTGTCCTTTCTCCATAATGATATCAATGATTTAGTCACATGATCTGGTGGTCTGAAAATTACATCAGATATAAATGAGCCGCGTCAGGACAAAACCAAAATAGTGCTTGTGCGACCAGCATGGATCCAGACCAGCCTGAGCATCCGCGCAGTCTGATCAGGATCCATGCTGTTTGCTATCAGTTACTTTACTTGTAAAAGGGTTGGTAAGCGTACAGCATGGATCCTGATCAGACTGCGCGGATGCGCAGGCTGATCTGGATCCATGCTGATCGCAAACCCATTATGTTGATTTTGTTGTGACGCGGCTCAAATAATGTTATACAGAGAACTTTTTATATATAAAACACCTAAATTAAGATACAAGCAGGTTAGAACCATCACAAAGGTAAATGCTTTATAACACAGAATATATAAATATAGTGGCAGGGTCTGGTAGGATGGAAATGGACCTTTCTAGTGTTTACAGTTTCATCAGAGACATAGTCTACTCTAGTTTCATGCAAATTGGGTAACTCAGACTATTCAATTGCTACACTGAGGTAATACATAGTCACTGGTTGACCTTGTTAAATAAAAGTACACATTAATTTTTTTGTGATGCTAGGCTAGCAATGTTTAACTTTCGAAAACCTTGACCTTGCAATGGTTAACTTCTGAAATTCTTGACCTAGCAATAGTTAACTTCAGAAAACCTTGACCTTGCAATGATTATTACCTTCAGAAGACCTTGACCTAGCAATGGTTAACTTGTGAAAACCTTGACCTAGCAATAATTAACTTCAGAAAACCTTGACCTTGCAATGATTATTACCTTCAGAAAGCCTTGAACTTGCAATAGTTAACTTCAGAAGATCTTGACCTAGCAATAGTTAACTTCTGAAAACCTTGACCTAGCAATGGTTAAATTTAGAAAACCTTCACCTAGCAATAGTTAACCTCTGAAAACCTTGACCTAGCAATGGTTAACTTCTGAAAACCTTGACCTAGCAATGGTTAACTTCAGAAAACCTTGACCTAGCAATGGTTAACTGTATAAAACCTTGACCAAGCAATGGCTAACTACAGAAATGATTGCCTTGAAATGGTTAACTTCTGAAACCTTGACCTAGCAAAGGTTAACTTCATAAAACCTTTATTCAGCAACAATTAACTTCCGAATGCCTTGATTTAACAACGGTTGACTTCAGAAAACCCTAAGTCAGCAATGGTAAACCTCAGAAGACCTAGCGATGTTTTCATTTTCTGAAAACCTTGACCTAGGAATAGTTAACTTTAGAAAAACCAAAAGGTCCATTTTATTGTCATTTATTGTCTTTTGTCTCAGAAATATAAGAAGAAATACAGTCTGCAAACTTCACCTTTTGTTTCCATTAGTCTCAAAGACTCACACTTGTTCGTTGGTTGTTAATATATTCAAAAATAGTCTTTCATAAGTAGCTTACCTTTTAGCATTGGACCCACAGAGCTGACATTTAAACAATACTTTAATAACACTAGTCTTCGCGACTTGTAAATTTCCATCAAACTTTAACATTGACCCCGACCTTGACCTGTACATCTGCACATTGGAATCTAACATCCACAGCTGCAAATATAAACTATTCTATATTTAAACACTGTTATAAGAGTTTTTAAACTTCTGTATTGGATTAAAGGAAGACAATATTCTAAATAATATCATATTGTATGATGCTAAGCCCTCTACATCACATAAATACTCATGGACAATTTTGTGCCACACCCAGGACTGGTAATTACAAAATTAGAGGCTGCATATGGAATGTTGTGCCATTCAATTAAACTTATGATGAGATACATGTATATCCATTTGTCATTAGTTACCAATAAATTATTTATCTGTCAAAAAAATATATTTCTGATATATGTAGTATGATTATACCTAATCAAACAGAACATTATAGATCTTACAAAAAAGTAAATTTTTTTCTGGTAGATTCAAAAACGACCTGCCAGTATGAGAACACATACAGTGTTACATATGTTTAGATTTATTCATACAACATTACATCAAAATAGTGACCCTCAGTTATAAGTTCACCTGTATTAAGAGACCACTTTCACAAGCTCCCCCTGAATGGCCTCTTAATCATAATACTTAGTCATGTGTTCACCAAGACACCTGCCTTAAAAGACCAATTTTACATTCTCCCATTTAAGACAGGTTGGACTTTATGTACTTATACAACTACCAACTTTACGGAAGTAAAGTGACGAGGCCTAAAAATGATTTACCAAACATGTTGAAACACCGGACTCTGAATTCTCCGTTACCGTGTCACTTCTTGATTCAATTATAAACCGGAAGCTCGCGTACATTTCACTCTGCTCCTGCAGTAATCCGCTGAAAAATCGGTCCAAATCCACTCTGAAATAAAAAATAAAATTAATTTCAATCAATTTTAAAAGCCATTTCACAGAATAATCTTCTCTATCAATGCAACCATTCATATACAGACAAACATTTTAGTCACCATATTAGGTTTACAAAATTTACCTGTTGCTTATACTTGAGTCTTGTTTTATCAGGTCAGCAAAACGAAGATCTTTCATCAGTAATGTATGAAGGAAAAATTTGATGACACCATCTTGAAATGATGTACCTAGAAATACACAGAATTTCAGATTTGTAACCACTTGTTTACATTTTTTTAACTTCATTTTTTCCTGCTTGAAATATGTATGTGTCACATAAAAACTAGCATGCAAACTCTACATTAGTACATGTATGTATATGAAAAATGTAGGAAAGGATTTCAAGAGTTAGAATCATTTTTCATAATCTTCTTTCACAGCAGGAACTAGCTATGGGGAAGTTTGTATGTAAACATTATGTCATCAAAACATTTACATATATCCTTCTTCAATGCAGAAATAGGTAACTGGGTCACACTTAGGCATATCATTTTTTACCCCAGCAGCATGATTTATATATTTAGAGCATACATGTGAAATTTTTCAATGTTCAAGTGGGAGATTTTTCTTCAAAAAGAGGGAGATTTTAGAATTTACAATAAACAAAGAAGGAAGTTCTGATATCAAAAATAGGGAGATTTCTTTAATTTGTAAAAATACCCCTTATTTTAAGAAAAATCATTGAAAATTTAGCTGCAGTAAGTGGGAATCTCATCCTTAGAAGTGGGAGAGTTCACATGTATGATTTAGAGGTCGACAAAGCAATTCTACATGCCAAATATCTAACTTCTGGGAATTACAGTAACACACTAAAATGTGTTGTCATACATACTAGAGGTCTATATAAACTAAATAATCCATATGTAAGGAACCACTTAATAATCATTCCTGTGAAGTTTCATCAAAATCTACCCCATGGATAATTAAAGAGGTGACGTTCTTTAAAGAAATTGCGGGTAATAACGGATGGCGGAGACCATGCGATCATAAATGCTTACTTCTGAGCAGTTTTTGCTCAGGTGAGCTAAAACGAATAATGGTAATAACAGAACTACGGTAACAAACAATACCAAAATAAATCACATGAAAATTGTAGATCAACAATAATTTGATGCCAAGCACAAAATGTTAAAGTGACCTTCAGTTTGTATTTTTTTGTTTGAAAAACAATCCTGTGTTGTTGCAAATCAAGTATTTCAGTAATTTAAAGTTATGAAAATGTGCATCATATCACTGTAAAGCCTTATTCAAAGCAGCTTCCTAACAGCTTTTTATAACATGTCCGTGACTTTTGTTATTTAAAACAGAAGATCAGGAAACTAATCATCCACTTTACTAATTCACAAAATATGAAGAGTTGACCAGTAGATTAGAGGTATCGAAGGGTTTCCTTATTGTTTACTTATTTTATCGATGACAAATTTCATTTTCCACCTTAATTCTTTTGATTTGACAATAATATGAAACATTTATCTTAAATAACCTTTAGAAAAGCTGAATATGAATTAATGATTTTACCATTGTGACTCTCCATTACTTCTCCAAGCTGTCTACCACAACGTTTACATATAACAGCCCCAGTTTTTGTGATCTTGACATCGGCACTATTTACATGTTTCCTAGCAACAAGGACAAATGTCTCTCCAACAAAACATTCATTTTCTTTTGGTAGTAATCTCCCTTGTTTCTGGGCTGGCTGGTCCTCGTTACCATGGTTATGACAAAACCACATGTCCGCCAAGTCGGACCAGTTTTCTGACGGCAATGGTAAAACTCGTCTTAATATACTGCAATGAATTATATAAAATATTTTACTCAGGATGGAAACATGTACCCCTTCCATGTATTATTTCAGGCACAAACAGGCACCTGATTAGAACCACCCAAATCAATTCACTTAAATCTCAAAGGCCTTAAATATCTTGGTTACTTGGATCCTAATTTCACTGACTGATCCAATCCACGAAAAGGCAAATCCACAAAAAAAAAACACAAAGATTTTTGTCCCACGAATGGCAATGACTTTGCAGTATTTCCATTCTAAAATCTCTCAAACATTTTAATATGGTTAAAGCAAACATGACATACCTTCTATCCGTAAGTAATTTCTGTTTACAAACAGCACAGAACCATTTATTCTGTAGTTTCTGGATGGTTTCAACCGTCTCATTTTGTAAGGAACATTTCTTTACTTTCATCTGTAACAATTCGTCTCCTTGTAATAACTGACCTAAAATATACCATACAAAATTAACTTTCACATGTTCATAGCTACTTCTTCAGTTGTTTAAAATTTTACGTGCTCTTAACCCATTGTCAAAACATTATTTGACATATGTTTTGACATTTCTAAGGAAGTAAAAGAAAATGAATTTCTGAAGCATAATGTGCTTTTCCTAAACAATTTATAAAATTTTCAATTTCAATTCATTTTAACATGCATGGTACATAACAGAAGCTATCTATAGGGAAAGCTTTCTGTCTTTCAGCCAATTAAATGTATCTGACAACTATCTAATATAAATCAGATGCTGTTTCTGGCATAAAGGGGAAAATATTAGTATTTTTAGGGGAAAATATACCTATTTTTGGCTACGGAAAACAGCTTTTATTCGCCTGTAAAATACAGGAAAAAATCACTGGTATATTATCTAACCTTTGCACTGACTGTACACACTCACCTTTAATGCTGAAGTGTAGCTCTGTGGCACTGACTAGTTTCAAACCCCTACATGTGTCAGGTAGTAAAGTTACACCTGGTAGTTCTATCTTGCACACACTCTCACCATCACTAACAATTATATGGTCTGTTTCCATAACAACATCCATGGAACTTTGTATCCTTCAGACAAAAATAAAACAACATCATATCAAACAAGATTTGATGACAATCATTAATAAACATCTCAAGTAACAAAGTTTTATAGACTTGTCAAAGAGACATCAAGATATTTTTTGAACAGGCGGTGTCTTTTACTGATGGTTTGACAGTAGGAAAAAAACGTTTAATAGGTCAAGCAGTTCATGATTGATTAATTGCTACAAATACTTAAGAAGTATTTTCCCCAATACAGCAAAAGTAACTCACTAAACCATATGTAATACAGAGCAACAGATAAGGTGTGTATGTGTAAAATACGCAATTGATTTTTTAAGAATGCGTATCAAAACCCATTAAAAAAAATGAAATACGCAATTGTCTTAAAAACCCGTGCGTATTGTTATTTTCATCACCGCAAAATTAATCTGTCATACGCTCGAAGTTTTGGACAAATTTTATCGATATGCATGCTATCCGAATATTCCCGAATCAATGCTAACTAATCAACGGTCTTCGACGGTCCCCGGTCTCCAAAGACCGACTAAGCCATATCAATAAAGCATGAGACCGTCGATTTGTCTACTCAGGTCAACGGTCTTTAAAGACCAGCAGAGACCGTTGATTTTGCCGAGACCGTCAATAAGAAGGTCCCAGTTGTATCAATAGACGCTTTGAAAGCAATATGGCGTCAAAACAGTCGTAAATCAAAAATTAGTCAGAAAACAAACTTGTTAAAATATTATGAAATATAACATGAGCATTTTATATAAAAAATAAAACAATTGTGAAAAGTTCTAGTAAATTGTTAATCCTATTTTCTTTTTAAAAAAGTTTAAATTTTATTGATATTGAAATCATAAAATTCATAACTTCATAATTGAATACCCAATTAATCTTGAAATCATAGGGTATCGAGTTTTTGAATACCCAATTAAATGGAGCCAATACCCAATTCCAAAGGAAATGATGGAGTAATACCCAATTCACTTTTAAAGCTTATCTGTTGCTCTGTAATACGGGGAAGTCAAAGGCCAGGACCGCTAAGCAACCGATCAATAAAACTTTCATTGTCAGTTTTAGTTGGGCGCCGCCATTTAAATGGAATTCAAAGATAATAGACGGCGCCGCCATTTAAATTGAATTCAAAGATAATAGACGGGGTATTCCGATATAAACAGAACAATCGCAACTTTTCGGATTAATCGTCAAGTGTTCCAAGTGAAAATGGAAGGCAAGCTGCGCATTTTTTTTAACAGACTTTCCCGTTCATAGGCTTTACCTTATTTCATATAACTTTTACAAAGGTAACATGCCAGGAATATCAAAGATAATCCTTATCAAACAACTCATTTAGAATCATAAAAAAATATTTGATACATTGTTATTTTGCATAGTAAATGTAAATTCAGATCAACTACAAGATAACTGAACAATTTAATTTAACAGTTTAATACATTAAAATATTAACATAAAAATCGTGTGCATATTTTTTTTAAAGACAAAGAAATGAAAGGACCTACATTTGTTAGCAGGGGTGTCATTGAAAATCGCGATATTTATACGTAATCCATATTCAATAAACGATACAATATTGCTTCACAATTTAGAATATCAGTACAATTTAACTGTTTTTAACACTTTAAAACCCATGCTATATTTCTTCCACAGGCAGCCGGTGCGTAGCTTGGATACTATTTTGAATAAATAAATATTCCATTTATCCAAAAGAAATGGGAGTGATCATGGACATGTATAGTATATAAGCCACCCATCGACTGTCTGCGATTTTTTTCCTGTCAAGAAGATAATTGGCCCACGTGTTTCGATAACTTATAAATACAAAATTTGAGAAATCTTTGTTACGTTGATCCTGATAAATGTATTGAACTTGAAGGTTTCTTACCATTTACTTTCAATAATACAGTTTAAAATGTTCGAGGAATTACTCCATGTGGCAAAAAACTTTGGGAGCTTTTGAGTTGTTTCCATTGTTTTGGTAGCCTCGTTATAAAATGAAAGTAAAAAAAAACAGCCAGCGGTGGCGTGTAGATTTAAGTTTGTGAGAAATAGTAAAGTTCAAATAAGATGCGACAAAATTTAATGAGCGCACTTTAAGCAATATTATAACGCGTTAATGCTCGCAAAGGTCTACTGAAAAATAAAATGGTATTTTTTTTGAAAACGTTCAAAAGTATACGGTTTCAAAACGTAATGTTACGCTTCTTTGTAACCAGGGAGGAGTAACCTTACGTTGTTAATTAAAGAAAATACCCGAGAGCATTTTGCGTCTACCACAAATCATGGCCATCTAGATAGTTAATTTTTGTAAACCTTATCGAGGTATTAGTACAGATTGCTTCTCCACAACATCAAGGAAAATTGTTACTTTTTGCTATTATAATTTTTATTTATTTAAATAATTATTATTGGTACAAAATTTAAGGAAATAATCTCCGCCAGATGGGGGAACAGGTGTGATTTTACACTCTACATTGAAACATTTAAACATCAATATTTAAATTAGGAAATTAAATTCTCTTCATTTTTTTCAGCTTGATTGCGAAGCATATATTTAGAACCTATTTTATTGCTTCAGAGTTCGCTCTCTGTAATACTATTAATGATAAGTGGCCGTGATCAACGGGTACAGTAAAGCTTAAACCCACTACCCCCGAGTTGAGATTTTTCAGGTGATTTAGAAAGTTACAAAACACGTATTTCGTTCACGTTTTCAACACTTCTTGAGGTATTTTTCCCCAGCCAAGCCTCCTTAATAATCGCAAAGACCATAAAGGAAAAATATGAACTAGTCTTATATGCATATTATTTCATTAACCACAAAGAACCAATTTCACCGACTAAAGCGTCCTGATTTTTTTCTCTCTCGGTTTCTCAAAAATGATTGATAATAAGTCGGTTAGTGTGACATTTGGTCGATATAACTGATTTAAATGAATGTCAGTTTTTGTTTACCAAATACTTGGATTCCACTTCAGTAATTAACGATGCCCATTCCCGGATCGACAGTCACTTGAAACTGACAACGCCGCGTTGTTTGCACGTCTGCTTCAATTAATATTTACTGTAATTTGGTCCATTGGATGATCCCGTTAAGTTTGCTGCAGATGGTGAACTGTTGCGTTTAAAACTAGCATTAAATATCATTGTGATTTAAAATATTGATTTTTTGTTCGTCTACTTCCTTGAACGGACTGCTAAATTCTTTTTTAAATATATTTTTCTAAAACTACAAAGTTAAACAAGCAGTATGAATTCAGTATTTAAGATCGTTATTTATCAGTTAGAGTATTGAAAAAAGATACATTCGTGTAAAAAGCGCGTTATGAAACAAATTTCGATAGACATATAAATTGTTTCTTATTACTTTTATAACCGAAATTTACAGGTCTATCATTGTGTAATGAATTGATAACGTAAAACGCATCTTATCTCTATCAAACGATAAGCGCGCGCTACAGGACGAGTTGATTACAGCTATCAGAGGGTAAATCATAGCGGTTCTCCCCGCAGGGGGTATGAGAAATAAACGTATACCAAATGGACTCTCCCATTACCACAGCTACTGATGTTGCAGTTAGAAATCTGGAGTGTGTTAGAAAAGCCGACAGGAGTGTGTGCTATTAATAACTTCAAGAAGTTTTGAGGAATTTATTTCTACCAGTCGCTATGGATATATAAGAAAAGTTGGAGTACAGAAAAAGTTTTATATATGTAATGAAAAGATTGAAATGTAGATCGCGCTATTTATAAAGAATTAAACTAGTTTTATAATAAATCTTTTTTTTTATCTCTTTTTGAAGTTCTCTGATATAAAAAAAAGTGTTTTCTTTCAATATAAATAAAGGAAAATATGGAGCTTTTTGGATTAAGCCTCTCAGACGTGTGTAATATGTGTTCGTATCACAGGAAATGCATCTCAAGTAGTGTATATTATGGAATAGGAATAGTTTTAGTGTTACTCGGTGTAATTTGTGATCTCTCAAAGGCTTATAATATAGACCTTACGACCGCCACCATTCATTCAGGGGAGACTCGAAGTATGTTCGGTTTTTCGGTGGCACTGCATCAAGACCAGGGATCTAAGTGGTAATAAAATCATAATTTTAAGTTTTTTCCCCCACTTTTTAGTTATTTCTTGATTTACCAATCATATTATTGATAAATATTCCTGTGCCACATCGTTAATTAATGAATTATAATTTAAAATTAGTTATTTCATTTTCAACATTTAAGGAACCGGTAGCATATAATCCTCCTTACACTTGAAAGATAGAAACATTGCCATTCAGTCTTAAGTGACTCATTTCACTGTAGAGAAATGGTTAGGAGCCAAGTGAAAATTTGTTAGTTTCATAGTAAATTTGAGGTATTCTGAATCTGATGATTGATTGATATAATCGTATGTTTGTTGGTGATGATTATCTGCATGAGTTTAAAAAGAAAAAAATACGAGCTGGTATAATATTAATAAATTAACTAAACAAATAAGTTTGCAAACCAAAGTTGATTCAAGTATAGTCGATATGAATATACAATTTATATGAATATTTATGAACGAGTAGGTGTTCATAGCAAAAAGCGAGAATTTAATCTACGAAACATCCGCAAATTACTCTGAATGGATCGGGGTTTAATAATTGTTTGATTGTGTGTGAATCATTTGGCAATGGGATGTTTGAACTTCTTAGATATATTGATAAACAGCCCGTCAAAGTTAAATAAGTTAAATTGCTAAATCATTTAAAACAAGATGAGAATACTTCCGATTATTCATGAATTTAATAGTGCGCTGTGTTTATTTTTTAAACTGAATCTAATATCAACATTTTTTTGTTTCGCCGGTATACTAGTTGGGTATCCCATGTTTATTACAAGTGATAGTCTATGTTTTGTAAACAGCGTGGTGAATTCGATGCGTTAAATTCGTTTAGGCATTCTTGTATCAAATTCTCATTTTTCAACTATTCAAGTAGTCCAGAACGCTTGATTTTTGTTTCTTGTTTTATGTATTCGTATTACAAAAGGAATTGTGATCGAATTTCAGTTGATTAAAGAACAGCGATCGTACATAGATATTGTTATAATGTGTCAATACGCGTATTTGTTCGTTTGAAGCAAAAAGAACAAAAAAAAAAAAACAACTAGTAAACCTTCAAAATATAGTTAGAAAGTGAAATTAGGCATAATAATAAAACTGATATTGATGACAAAAATGATGATGATGATGGTGGTGATGATAATGATGATGATGATTTTGACGACGATGATAATAATGAACGAAACGAGAAACAAAACAGCAGCGGCAAAAACAATAACAACAAAAACAAAAGGGACAAAACAAATGAAGTCGGGAAGTAATTCCTTTTTCATCAATCAAAGTACTCGGACCCAATTATGATCTATGCATACTACACAGTGCGTTATATGATTAAGTTTACTGACATGTATCTAAATGTATGTTACTGTAAAAGTTATCAATGTGGGGGTGTAGATCGCTCTCTATATTTTTTACTTTATTTCTTAATCAGGAAAATATGTTAAGTAGCTCATTCACAAATCAAAGGCTTATACGAGCTTATATATATGTGTTTATTTAATGTATGATTTCGCCAAAAGATAACGTCAATAATATCATCAAAGACATGTGTGTTTGTATTATATATTTAGATAATGTCTGCTGACTCATGTTAAGAATACGCCTGAACGATTTACTAAGAAACATGTTACTATATGTAAAGAAATCCTCTTTTGATTGTAGGTAAACTACACCTTCATATTAGTTAATACGGATATTAAAGCTTTTTTTGTACATTTACATAACAAGAAACGTTATTCGCTCATATGACGGTCCCCTATTGCTTACGTACACTCGTGCACAATACACAAAGAAGACATACTCACGTACACACACAAGAATTCGTATTTTGATAAATAGTTTGAAGACTGAATCACCTGAATACTTCTGTTTCCAATTAATGAAGAAAAGATGTGTTGTTTTAGGAAAGATAATAAATAACTTAAAGTGCATAAAGTAAATTATCTTAAATACATGTAGTTTCTTATAGATTAATCATCAAATCTTGTTTCCTATCTGAATTATATAGATCTACAATTCCCATTACCCCGCCGTATGTTGATACTGTTGGGTTACCCAAGAGTATCAACATACTGGATATTTTGTTATTTGTTCATATAATTGTTGATAAATAACATGAAAGTCCTTTTTAAATTTTTAAACCGACCATCAGCCTCTATAACTTTTTTTCTTCAATATGTTACACATACGTCTCAAGAAAAAATTGGGATGAAGTTATGTCTTTTTTCTATTTTTTCATTTTTTTATAGAAACAAAGAGATAATTGTTTATGAATTTCGTGACTTCCAAGAGTATATTATACATTTTTATTATCAGAAAACTCACGATGTATTTATCAGAGAATACATCTTTTTATTGGAAGAATGAACAAATAATCTTAATGTTAGTGTGATATATCAGAGACTTGCACCAGTTGTCTGTTGGGAAAAGATAAACATTTAAAAATGAGAGAAAAATCAACCCCTTGTAAGTTAAAGTCCAGGTTTCATATTACACGTGCATTAAGCAAGTATGTTTCCTGTTGCTTTGTTACGTGGTACAAACGCAATAATTCATGCAATATTTTTCTTTGTAAATTGGTCATTTTACAAATGACATGTGTACGGCGATACGTCCCCCAGGGGGCGCTGTGTAGCCATTATAAATAATCCTTGTCTCTCTCCATACTAAATTTACATCAACACGGTACTAATTAGCTCCCTACTGTGCTGACAAATGAGAGGGGCGTGGTCTAATAATGTTTAGATGGAGAAAGACAAGATCTTATTTTTCTGAAATTTAACATTATGTAATACTGATATTAAAACAGTACCACCCATGGATTCATGTAGTCTTCAGAATTGAACTAACTTTTTTACTGGCATCATTATGTAAATTAATCAAAACTTTTATTATAATAAGAATCTGGGACGAAGTGTAAGTTTATGTCCCACTAAGAATCGAAAAGTAGGTAAAGGGATACCCTGGTTTAGCATTTCAGGACGAAGATTAAATTTATAACCTCAACACAATCAAGAATGAGCTTTATCTAAAGATGGTCAACACTATTCAGTTCCTCTTATATTTTATCCTTTATTACAAAATGCAAACTAATTATAAAATAAATCGATTCCAGACAAATACCTTTCTTGAAATGCGACTCATGTGCTTGATATCATGATTTTTTTTTGGGCTTAAAGTAAGTGACTGTTATTCTTACGCATGAAACGGTAAAGGGGTTTTCCGAAGAAATCAGATAAGATGGAAAGAAAAAGAAATGTTCACGTTGAAATGATATTTTCATATTATGGTGACCTTGATAAAATTTGTTGGTCACGATGTGACCTGATTGACCTTATCATCAGTTAAATGATTGCTTGGAGATTAAACCACTTCGTGTAAGAGGATTAAGCATAAAGATACATCCTGATTTGATAATCGGTATAACAAACTTTCCATGAAAGTAATGTTATCAGCACGTGCAATCTTTGCACGTGGTCTAGGGATAATATTGACAAGTTCTCCACTCCAAATGTAAATAAATGATTTAATGAGGCAGTTGGCAGGATATGTCTTTATATGTCTGATTATACGCAAGTTGTCAAAATGACATTACGTAACAAATTGCGTATACTCTTTTTTTGAATACACAACATTGGCAGCATAAACTGACACGTATAACAATGGAATCTTTCACAGCCATATTGTAGAAATAACTGTTCAATGAAAATTGAGATCGCCGTAATAAGATAATAACCATTTCAAGGAAATCTTTATTATAATTATCTCCGGCAATTTTGTCGTAATAATTTACTACACCCTTTTTTCGTGGAATTATAACTCCGTTTAATGACCCTTCTTACACTATTTTAGGTTGTTAGTTGGTGCCCCCAAAGCTTCTACCCGCCAACCTGGAGTAACTCGAGGTGGCGCTGTATATAGATGCCCAGTAGATACCGGTAGTTATTGTCAAGAAATTCCATTTGATACAAAAGGTAGGTTGACAATTTACATTTTTTATCATCTTTTACACTGCTCACCAATTTTAGTGGTGTTTGACCAGTTTAATTGTGAACTTACCGATGTTGGATAAATATCGCGCACCAATCTGTGCGCACGTGCAAATTGTCGGCTGCTCGACGAAAAATCACATTGAAGTGTTTTCATGATCAGACATATGAAGCTTACATTTCAAAATGTATTTTCAAATAGAAGCTGACAAATTTACATATATAACAGTATAAGTTGTATAATACGCATTTTCTTTCTAATTGTTGAACTAGTCAAACCGAAAGTATTTCGACATGCCAAAGCTAGATTCTGAAAGCCTAGAGAGGAGCTAAGATGTTCGGCGTCGTAAGGAATGTCGGTGGTTATACTCCTGCTTACAAAAATTGATCAGCATCCCCCCTTATAATATGTGAATAAGATTTCTGAAAAAAAGTAGTACCTGGGAGGACACCTTCCCACCGCCACATTTTACCTTTTCCAGGGCTGTAATTTGTACAAGTTTGTAAGTTTTAAATATCAATTTTTCATGGTTTATTTCTTCTTCGCTAACATTTTAATGACCTTCTATTGTAGGTAATGGTATACGTCACAATGGCACGCATTACGTAGATGTTGAAGACAAGTCAGACCAATGGTTTGGTGCCTCTCTTTACAGTTCTGAAAATGGCATCATAGTGGTACGTACCAGTTTTATATATAAAAATACACCGTTCGATTATGATTGACACAAAGTCTGTACCTTAAGGTAGTGCAGGGTAATTTGTAAAATTGAGCCAAGTTTCAAACTATCCCCGGATCTCTCCCATGCTGCTTGGTCATTGCTGTGGTTTAAGTTTTGGTGTTTAACTTGCTTCATGCAAGTGTTCATTTACCATCTAACTGTGACCGCAGGTGCATAAGTTATTTGGTTTTAACATGTATATTCTAGACATTTTTGTGTGAAGCAAAATAGAGAAAGAAGTACTGGGATATATGAAAAAGCCTGGTACTGAATTGAAGACATTGTAGGTCTCTAGATTATAGAGAAAACAGAACCCCTTAAGAACGCCCAAATGACAAAATTGAAAATGTTGCAGACTCTGTTTGATAGGAAAGTGCAAGTTACTTTCCACGCACCAACCACCGTCTTAAGCAGAATTCAAAATGAATATGATAATAGTGAAATTATGATTTTTGAAACATTCGCATATGTTTTCATACCACAGTTATCATGGAACCTTCTATATACTTATTTAATAGGTTCTAGTCCTAAAAACGGCCACTAAAAGCTATTTACGGCATATACATGTACATAAATAATTTCTTTCTTTGATGTTTAAGTTTACTTTAACTGTATTTTGTGTAAACCATGCAAATACTCACTGTTTTCATGAGGAAAGCTAAACAAAACAAGATATTGCATGTTATATGTATCCCCCTAGAGAGATGTTTTTATATGTGTACATGTGAACTCATACTTTAGCATCAATTAGTGTAAATTTGAGAACATAAACTCAACATCTGGCATCATTAGCTGCTGGAAGTACTTAACTAAATTTGATCCAGGAAGGGAAAAGTTCGGTTTTCCATATGATTATTATTCACCAATAGTACAGGCACACCCTGAATTTAAAGGCCTACATAATGGATATATATATATTATGTCTTAGTAGAAAATTCTAATAAAGAGCAACAACTCTGTCCACATTTCCTACAGAATGGATACTGGCATATATGCCTCAGAAGAAAATACTTGCAAAGGGCTGCAACTCTGTCCACAACTCTAGAATATTAATTTGCAGGGCTACAACTCTGGAGTTATGAGAGGTTGGTAGTTTTATTTATAGTGCCTTACTCATGACTGAACCAGTATGCACAGAGGGGCACTTGAGGGTCTACCTCGGCCATTAAAGCTTAGAATGTTGGCATATTGCCTAACATGGGTGTGACTTTAAATCCCCACCAACCCACACACTCTCAGAAAAAACTCCAAAAAAAACAAGAAACAGAACAAGATAAATACAGAAAGTGACCTTTAATAGAAATTATAAAGTTAAATAGACGATTTCTGGTTTTATATAAAAAGAAAAAGATTATTAGGGCTTTTTTTCCTTCTATGGCAGGGGCTGTTACCCAAAGAAAAATTCTTTAAAATCATGCAGTTTTCCCCCAAAATTGAATTTACATCCAAGTTTTATCTTCCCCTTTTTGCAAATAATTATATACCGTGTAATTTTCCCCAAAAATTAAGGGCCGGGCTGCTTCCCCAACCTGTGGAAAATGCACTAATAAGGCAATTCCAATTATTATAAATTCCTCCTACCATTTGCTTTGTCAAGGACTTTTTAGTAATTTTATGAGAATCGTTTGTATGATATAATCTGGTGTCAGTGTGGAAGGAAATACCGTCTTAAGTTGATAATTAGTACATGTACTAAGTTACAAATTAAAGATTGCTTGATTTATTTCAGAAAAGTTTTTATTGTAATTTCATACAATATATATTGATTTTAGTTTATTAGTTTTGATTAATGTGTAATAGAGTAACTTAATATGGGCCATTTTTGCTCCATTACAGACATGATTAGTTGTCCGGAAAAATTGCTCTTGTAATTGTTAGATTACTCGAGACATTTAATCGTTACACACAGTGTGGATATCAGTTAATTGACCCTCGCTGTTTAGCCTCACAACCTTGTTATAATGAAATTCATGGACTGATGGAGCATTGTATGGCCTTGAAAAAGTGTTAAATACTGAAAATCTTGAAACAAGCTTATAAATGTGATTTCGATGCCTGAAATAATGTACGATGGAGCATTGTATGGCCTTGAAAAAGTGTTAAATACTGAAAATCTTGAAACAAGCTTATAAATGTGATTTCGATGCCTGAAATAATGTACGGAAGAGCACTTGAGGGTCTTTCTCCATTAGTAAAGCTGGCACTTCACCATTATTATGACCTATACTGTGTTGGTGTGACAAGATGTACGGTAAAACCCAACCCACCAAAAAAAAAAAACAATGTGGTTTTGATTCCCCGGACTGGCCAACTAAAAATACTTATTTTCTAATCAGTCTTTTGGATTCGATTTTAAGTTGAGGTCCCGTGTATTGATGGAGCATTGTGTGGCCTTGAAAAGTATTGATGATTTAATACTGAACCATATAAAAGTTGAGTCCAGCTAGCCCTCCATAATTTTTGGAGCAATCTGTTTCAGATATAAAAAAAATATAGGAATACAAATTTGCAATGATTAAGTTTCATAAATGTTTTTATCTGCATAATATTAAGCATATATATAATTGCTTAAGAGCCAAGTTTTTTTTTTTGATTTTATATTTTAAGCCCAGTTTTTCTAATTGTGGATGTAGTAAAAAAAAAAATTTTAAATTAAAGTTTTAGGTCTGGATGTTTGCCACACAATTGGAAAAAGAGGAGAACATGAATATGACCAGAAATGATTTAGATCCTGGGTAAAACAAGACTGAATAAATAGTTCTTTCTTTTATTGCTTTTGTAGGCTGCGCAAATTAATTGAATAAAAGTTTTATGCACTTGGAGAAATTAAGTTAACATTGGGGCACAGTTTATTCTGTAAATATCTGAATTTTATTAGGCAAAAAATATTCTATTCTCGCTGAGCAAATATGTTTGGTAAAATTATCTTGTAATATCTAGACATCAAATTTTCCTAGATGTTTGCATAATTTGTGCATGAAATTCTGCAACTAGCATCAATTTTCTTGTCTATAAAAGATGGGGAAGTCAGGAAATTTGGCAATTATGGTTTGCATGTGAATTTAGATATAGAGAAAACAGTTTCGATATTATGGCAATAAATTTCACCGAGATTAAGAACAAACTTTGCCTTATGACAGCTAACCAATAGACTGTATTATTAAAATGGTAGACTGTGATATTAATGGTTGAATAATAGAATGGTTATGGTATGTGTAACAGGAAATATGGGCTAGAAGCACTGGTGCCAGTCTGTGGTCGATCATTCTCATTATTATATCAGTTTTTTCCCTTTCCCTGTTAATCTTTGATAAGATTTATGAATGGAATCACGTCTTGTAAGAATTTTTCTGTGGTTTTATTGTAAGAGGTGTATATTTTGCCACTCCTGTTTTAACAAAGAGTGTTGCTATGTTAAGATTTCACACTCAGACATTAAGATATAATTATGAAAGACCTACATTCAAGTGTTTATTGTCTGTGTGTGTGTGTGTCTATAGAAAATTGTATCTGAATTCTCATAAGCCTTAAAATTCAACAACAGGAGACAAAGCTTTTATCAAAGGAGGGGTAGGGGATTGATAATTGGCAAGATAGAAACTATCCTTGATTTTGGCTTGTGACTGTCCAAAATATAATGCTTTTCCTTCTTTACCTATATAATGAGACTTCCAATTTCAGACATTTTGCAGTCTCGGACTTCTAAATGTTGGAACATAATGGGAGCCCTGGTTATTTAAATCCTGATATCCAGCTAATGTAAGCTGCTTGAAATATTTGAACTATCAGTCCTGTATCCTCCATTACCATAGTAAAGCTTTAGATAGTCTAAATCTTTGACTGTTGCTTGTATATTTCAAAATCTTTGTTTAGATTTGTTATATAGATTTGTTGTATTAAACTTAAAGTATTTCCGAGGCCATTGACTTATTCAGAATTGAGAAACACTTATTGTATATACAGTTATATGACCAGAGTTGTAAACAAAATTTTTACAGCCACTAGTAGATGCCATGGTGTAAGTTACTATCCTGTATTGTTGTATATGCTGTAACAAAACACTGTATGTTTCTTACTGATTACTGTTAGAAGACCTTTGTTCATTTGCTTGTCATAATTTGTTTATTTAGTGAGAGAAAAACACACATACTGTGGCATCATTTATCTGTAAGCTTCTGACTGATATAGATTATATACTCCAAGAGATCTATATGTTACTCCAGATGCTTGAATAAACATATACTAAAGAAAAGGATGGTAAAATTTATCTAACTGTTTATGAAACTGTCAAACATGATATTGTGATATAAAGCCTATCTAAAACCAATGTATTTCTGAACTGGGGAACTGTCCGGCCCACAGTACACCTGTGTTGAACTGCCAGCTCATGTCTTTTTAAAATTCACCTCCAAATCACAGCATTGCAATGTTCTTGCCCTTTTAGATATATATATAATACCATTCAATTAAACCAATAACAATGTACTTTTCATAGGTAAATAATCTTGACAATAATTACAATAATAATTATAATAACTCTGATTTCCTAAGGCAGCTAATGCATTTTCACAATCCTTCAGTTTTAACTTAAATTCCATTTTCTGTATCTTATAAAATAACTGTATGAAAATTTTGACCTTAATGGAATGAATAGCTATTATTCTTACAAGAACCTGCTACTTTTCCAGTATACATTTACATGTATATATATCTACATTATCTTAATGAATGGAGTTTTCTTTCTTCTGGGAAGAATTTAGGAATTTTATGTCTGCAGTTGTTTTTGAGAAAGGTAAATTTGCAGATGGCCAGCTGTTTGATGAGTTGAAGGGTCTGTTTTCCATTTCATTACATTTTCCCCTGCATATCTGGATTACTTTCTACCATCTTGAAAAGTTCTGAAGTTGCTAATTCCTTTCCCATTCTCCATTTTGTTGTAACTAAATCAAAGTGATG